TCAAGCAAGCAATCCCCACCACTCAATTGACCCTGTACTTGCTGCCTCTGCTGCTGTTATCAGCTTACAAAGCATTGTTTCTCGTGAATCCAATCCATTGGACTCTCAGGTGGGGTATATTTGCAACTAGTAATCATTAAAATTCTTTTTTTTTTTGTCATATTTATATTAGAGTCTGATTAATCAATATTCATGTTGCGTAAGGCCTTAATAGAGCAAATCAACCCCTATGAAGAATGTTTCCATAGAGAGTCTATCCATCACATCACAATCGTGGATCATATCAAGATCTCACTCCTGTGTGACCACATATTTTTTGAGTTTTGAAGTTGTGTTTGAATATGCCGAAAAAAAAATTCATAAGTTCTATGAGTGGAAATTTCAAAACTCCCCAAACTGTCTAAGTTAGTTTTTGAAAACTTGAAAATATTTGAAGATTAAATTTTCAAAATCTATGATCAAACACTGGCTTCATCTTATCTGAAAATTTGTCTATCTTTTTGTACTAAAAAGATCATATTTTCTCACTTTAAAAGTGGGATTTTCAAGTAATTTTGTTATTGAATCACTTAAAAAATAATTATAAAGTTATCATTCAATTAGTAACTTGTATTATAAAATAAGTTACTAATTATAACATGTTACAATATACTGATAATTCGATGTCATCTTCAATAATTGATTTTTGGATTGATTTGTGATTTTAATTTTTAGGTGGTTTCTGTGACATCTTTCAATGCTGGAGATAATCTTGATGTGATACCAGAAACAGTTACACTCAGTGGGACATTCAGGGCTTTTTCAACAACCAATTTTTATCAACTTCTTAAAAGGATAAGAGAGGTTAGTAAACACTATAATTAGTACTAATATTGAGACTTTGACATTCTTAAAAATAAATAAATCATATCAAATCATAGTTTACTTCAACAACAATTATTAGTCTTAGTTAAAAAGTATCATTTCATTTCATGAGTCACCACTAGGGCTAGATAGGCATGGTATTAAATGAATGATATTGAAAAGACATAAAAATATTACACTATATTATTGTCATATCAAATTAATTTGGGATTTTTTAATTTTGATATTCGTATTTTACAGTATAGTAAATCAATAATCATAATCTATTTGATTTTGATTTACATATACTCATAGAGAATTATGACATGATCTTTTCAAGGAACGTCTAAATTATAGTATACTAACACCTTATACAAATAAAAATATATTCAAAAGAAAGTACAAACATTTTCCTTTGTTAATCAGTTACTCAAAAAAGGGTATTTCAATCAAGATAAACGAGTTACTGCATATTTATTAATATTATAATAATAAATATAAATTGTATATGTAACTATACATTTCGATATGATATTCAGGATACCAAAAAAATTTAAACTGTATATCATATACTCCTTCTGTCCCAATTCATATGACTTACTTTTTCTTTTAGTCAGTACCAAAAATAGTGACACTTTCATATTCAGTAACAATTTAACTTTAAAATATCTTTTTACTCTTAATGAAATGATTCCACACAAATATCTATGATTTAGTTTAGACTACAAATTTCAAAACTCCTTCTTTCTTTCTTGAACTTTGTGATAAGTCAAATTAACTAATATAAGTTAAACCGGGGAAAGTATTATAATATAGAAATTGTGATATCAAAACTTTTAATTTCGATATCTATCATATCATACCATACCATACCATGTTGAGCTTTATACAACACTTATCCTAAAATTGCAGAGATAGAGGCCTGTTTTGGCAAAATATCATAGGGACCCCATGTTGCTCATATCCAAAAAAAAAAAAAAAGAATTGATTGATTGAAGAATTACACATCACATGGTATGATCCCAAATTGATTGGGCCAAAATCATGTTGCACCATATATAAGAAGGACTAAGTCCTTTCTACAATTTTCTAAAAGATCTTATCATTAAATGGAAAAAAAAATAAAAAAATATCCAAAACAGTAGAACAAGACAATATAATATAACAAAAACGTGCATAATAAAATAATATAATCTTTTAGTATATGGTCGCTTAGCTATATTGGAAATAGTGTAATAAAGTCACTCAATTATTGGACTTTCCAACAATTCTATACAAATTAAAATTGAGGAGTACAAATATCATCAAAAATCATTACTCTTTCGTTTTGATACAAGAAAAGAGGATTTTCTACACCACTTTGTTGTGTCGAAGACTAGGAAGACAAATAATCCCTCCCAGATTTTTTTTCTTCCCTGCATTTATCCCCCACTTTCGCGTGTCTAGTATTTAGACAAATTTGACTTTCTTTCTATTTAGAAATAAGAAAAAAAACTATTGATCATCATTGTGTGGACTCTTCACTTTCAATGTCGTATTCGTATCGAATTCTCCGAAAATACACTACTTTTGGCGAATTCGATACACACCTCTTGACATTTTTGAAGAGTTCGAGCAACATAGATGGCAGTGAAACCTGTCAATAGTAACTAACATAGTCACACTACTCTAACTAAAAAAAAACAAAATCAATATAACTAAACGTCAATTATCTTCTTCAAATTCTACATGACATACTCTTTTTCTACGAGATACTAGTTAAGTCATCGAGTATACATTTTTCGGCTAAGAGTATAAAGTTTAAAATAACAAAAAGTTCCATTCTTTTTTAAACGGACTAACAAGTAAACTGTACTGATCTTCACATAACATTTTAACAACAGGTTTTCACAGAACAAGCTAGTGTATTCAGATGCAGTGCAACAGTTGATTTTTTCGAAGACAAGGACACGATCTACCCTCCGACTGTGAACGATAACACAATGTACGAGCATGTAAAGAAAGTCGCGAGTGATTTGGTTGGAACGACCAATTTTAAGGTCGTTCCGCCAATGATGGGAGCAGAGGATTTTTCATTCTACTCTGAAGTAATTCCTGCTGCATTTTTCTATATAGGCATAAGGAATGAGACTTTAGGATCAATTCATACAGGACATTCACCACATTTTATGATTGACGAAGATGTATTGCCTATTGGTGCAGCTACTCATGCTGCCATTGCAGAAAGATACCTATATGAATATGGATCTTGAAATTGGATTTCGTCTTTTGTTCACACCAGGAGGATCAATAGTGTTCTTATTATTCATCAAATGTGACTCGAACTCTTGTTGGTAGTCGTGGAGGTGTTCAACTATTTCAACAAGCCTCACTTATCGATCATGGAATGGGAATTTTCTTTAATGCAATTTTTGCCCTTTTTTTTTCTTTTCTTTTACTCCCACATTGTATGCCAACCTATGTGATGATTGACAATTAAGATGTCCCTTCTTGTACTAATGTTTTTTTTCTTCATGAGATTGGACATATATGAATCATGGAGATAAGAGAAGATATATGATATAAAGGTGTTTACTACAATTTGAATTCTTGTACTTATTGTCTTGGAATGTCACAACCTAAGTTCATGGCACGTATTGCCCGCTTTGGGTCTATGACAATATGGATTTGTCTTTCGGGCTAAGTCACATTAAGTTCAAAAGCTCTTTGAGCTATTTCTTATAAATTCACTTTCGTCTCTCATTCTAATGTGAGATTCATCTAATATGTTATGTGCACCTCATCTTCAGAAGCTTGTCAGTCTAAAAATCTATCAATTCTGCTTGACGTGCCCTCATCAGCCTACCCTTGAGGTCTAATATGTTATGTGCACTTCTCTTTCAGAAGCTTGTCAATTTAAAAGTCTGTCAATTCTACTTGACCTGCCTTCATCAGTCTGTGTCCTTCGTGAGGGCGTCACATGGGAAGTGGTCAATATTCTTTGATCTTGAGGAATCAACTTTTGTAGTTTTCTAATTTTTCATCAATCTTTTTGTGGCTTTACAATATTCTTTCCTTCAACATTTTATTAATTAGCACGTTCCTAATATAATTACTTGTCAAAAAGGAAAAGCATAAGTTTAATCATTAATTAACTAAATTTCAATATTCTGTTCTCATCTTAATCCTCAGTTCCAAGAGAAATACAGGGGAGCTATCAACAGTCAATTATCTATAATCTTGATTAATTAACTAATAACCCCATAATCTCAAATTCTTAAACAAAATCAACATGTCTACTTCTGGTGAATCAAATATTTTTACGCTATTAATAAGGCAAGCAATCTTTTATAGCAGGCAAAATTCCAATTATCGCGTAAAAATTCATTTGCATTATCAGTGTAGGTAATTAAACATGTGTTGTCTATACGTTTGAATTGTTCGTTGAAGAGTCCCATATCGGATGAAAGAAGGATGATTGGTCTTTTTATATGGTGTTGGATAATCTTTCCTTGATCAGTTGACTTCTACGGTTGAGTTAGACTCAGTGTCCATTTCATTACCATATAATATAGCAAGATCGATGTTTGTATTATCTTGTTATGAAATTGACCTTGAGTCTAATTCTCCAAAAGCTTTCCTTTTTCATCCAACGTGAAAAAACCAATATTGTTCTTTCAATCCCCTCTCCCCTTCTCTTTTCAACCTTTGATTTACGTACCGTCCACTTTGGGTCTAGGCCAATACAGATTTTTCTTTCGAGCTAAGCCATATTGAACCCAAAAGTTCACATACCATGTGAATATTTGAGTTATATCTTATAAATACACTTCCCTCTCCCATTCCGATGAGAGATTCGTCCACTATGTTATATGCACCTCATATTCAGAAGCTTGTCAGTCTAAAAGTCTGTCAATCCTGTTTGCCCTTCTCGAGGGGCGTCGGTCGTCACATGGAAAGTGCTCAATATTCTTTGTTCATTACAATCTTCTTTACTTCAACATTTTATTAATTAGCACGTTCTTAATTACTTGTCAAAAAGGAAAAGTATAGTTTTAATCATTAATTAACTTCATTTCAAGATTCTGTTCCCATCTTAATCCTCTGTTCCAAGAGATTATAAAAACTAGAAACAGGGCAAACAGGGAGCTATCAACAATTAATTATCTATAATCTTGATTAATTTCACTAATCAACAATGTCTTCTTCTGGTGAATCAAATTTAGCAATTGCCAAAACTGTAATATCAGCAATTGGCTCAGCTGCTGCAATGTCCATGTTGATACATAATCTCCCACCAGAAGTTCAAGATTACCTCTTTTTCGGCCTCAGACATGTATTTATTAAATTCTCGAATCAACTAACTATGGTGATTGACGAATTTGATGGAATGGTGAGCAATGAAGTATACGAATCAGCTCAAATTTACTTAGGCTCAAAGCTCTCTCCTGATACACGTCGTTTCAAAATTAGCAAATCTGAGAAGGAAAAGAGTTTCAACACGAGCATGGATCGAAATGAGGAGGTCACTGACTATTACAAAGGCCATAAGTTCAAGTGGATTTGGGTATGTAAACAAATTCAAACATCAAGAGAGTCGTTTTACAATCCTCGCGATATCAACTCTACTATGAGGTCTGAGGTAAGATCCTACGAACTCATGTTTCAGCGAAAAAGCAAGGACTTTGTCCTTGAATGTTACTTGCCTTACATTATCAACGAGGCGAAATTGCAGTATCTTGAAACCAAGACACTGAAAATCCACACTATGGATTATGAGAATATGCATGATCTTAGTGAAGTGTGGACACCGGTGAATCTTAATCATCCCGCGACATTTGAGACATTAGCATTGGACTCAGAGCAAAAAGATGAGATTTTGAAGGATTTGGATAGATTTGTGAAGAGGAAAGAGTATTATAGGAAAGTTGGGAAGGCGTGGAAAAGAGGGTATTTGTTGTATGGTCCTCCGGGGACAGGGAAATCTAGTTTGATTGCAGCTATGGCGAATTACTTGAACTTTGATATATATGATTTGGAGTTGACAGAGGTGAAGAAGAACTCGGACTTAAGGAGGTTGCTTGTGGCAACCGCTAATAAGTCCATTTTGGTGGTGGAGGATATTGATGCTACTATTGATTTGCAAGAGAAGTTGTCTAGTCGCGGAGCTTCTCCTTCAAATGACTCTCATGAGGAAGAAAGCAAGGTTAGTGTCTTCATCTTTCTCACACTTGGTACACTTTCTAATTTAGTATAATGTCGTTGATAGAAACAAAAAGAATCTTGTCCCTCACGCTAGTCCAAAGATACTCTTAGCATGATATGATATAATTACCCTTGGTCAAGTTCCACATGGTCCATCATGGAAGATTGACAAACCCCTCAAACCTAGTACCACATGGCTCGTCCCTAAGATGACGAGCCAACCTATCACCACGATTGACAATCTTTCTCAGTTGAAACGAGGTTAGAGGTTGCTTGGTAAACGAGTTGATTGTTCAGGATGTTCTATTATCATCATATTCCATCACTTATATTACATCAATATAGATTGCCTCGTGAAATAACATTAGAACTTCTCCAGACATTTGTAATTTGTAATCTAATTAGACAACAAACATAGGAGTTGCTAAGAGTAAAGTTCGAGAAAAGGAATCAATTGTTACTCTAGCACTATTAACATTGACAATGTTGCTTTTTTCCCTTCTGTTATCAATGTGAGACTTTCTTCGCGCCCTATAAAAATGCAATGTTTTCGTTCTCCGTCTTTTATCATTATAGGTGACATTGTCTGGTTTGCTGAACTTCATCGATGGATTATGGTCAAGTTGTGGCGATGAACGTATCATAATTTTCACAACAAATCACGTGGAAAAGCTCGATCCTGCATTGTTGCGACCAGGACGAATGGACGTGCACATTCACATGTCATATTGCACTCCTAGTGGCTTCAAACTTCTTGCTTCCAATTACCTTGGAATTACAGAGCATCAACTTTTTCAAGAAATTGAGAATTTAATCGGAGCCACCGCGGTGACACCGGCTGAGGTGGCTGAGAAACTGATGAAGGATGATGAAGTTGACATTGCACTTAAAGGCTTGATTGATTTTCTTCATATGAAGGAGAAAGAACATGAAGACATCAAGGTTGAGGAGGAAGAAAATGAGTAGAACCTACTCTCTCTGTTCACTTTTACTTTATCACGTTTTACTTTTCCAGAGTCAAATTGTATGAACTTTGATAACAACTACTCCCTCCGTTTCACAAAGAATGACCTAGTTTCCTTTTTAGTCAGTTTCAAAAAGAATGATCTCTTTCCTTTTTTGGTAACATTTTACTTTTTGCTTTCCACGTGGCATGTTTAAGACCACAAGATTAAGGACAATTTTGTACATTTGACATAACTTTAATTTAGGACCACAAGATTCAAAAGTCTTCTTTATTTACTTAAACTCCGTGCCAAGTCAAACTAGGTCATTCTTTGTGAAACGGAGGGAGTATTATATTTGCACAACTTCTAAAAATTAAAGATGCATAACTTGATAGAACAACAGCTTACACCAACATATACAAAAGAGGCTACAAAATTATGGCATTGAGAAATTAAACCAAAGTTGTACAGCCTCTTTATTCAAAACAAACTAAACATTGCCACTAACAAAGGCATTGATGATATCTCTCATACTGATTACAAAAAAGCAAAATATATACATACATAGGATTATGAGGAGATTTCTACACAAGCAGCGGCTTTTTACACAACGAAAGCATCTACTAATATTACCCTTTCAGACCTCGACGCCTATTCTCTGAGCAACCTGCACGAGACAAATATCAGGTCATGCAACAGTTTCAGGTGAAAGATTAGCTTAATCGAATCTAAGAAGGTTGTGCAACTAGTAATGAGAAGTATTCTAGTGAATCGCGACCAGTACTTTTGGTTAGAAAATGTGACCTCCTGATCACATAGCAACAACTTTACCAGTTATGTCAAGGCCCCGTTCTGATTACAATAATGCAGTAGAAAGTATAATTTACAGATGGTATTGGAAACTTCTTGCCCATGACTTTTAGACACCGGAAATTTAAATCAAATTCATGCTAGCAGATCTTTGTTTCCCCCCTTTTGTTAAGTAACTTGACCAAATAAAGCAAGTTATGGAAAAAAAAAAAATACCTCTTTGAAGGAGACAACGTCGCTTCCCCACAGCCAGGCATCACAACCTGCATCTCTAGCACCCCAAATATCATTTCTACGATCATCGCCTACATGAACAGCATCATCTGGATTAACTCCTAGTAACTCACAAGCTTTTAAAAATATCGTTGGATTAGGCTTCTCTGCTTCTACCTGTTAAACGCCAAAAGAAATATCAGTTATTGGATCAGAAAGTACGAAAAGGAAGTTTTAAAGACGACAAACACATTACCTCAGCTGAAACTGCTACGGCATCAAACCAGTGATCACAGTTCAGAGCCCTTAACACTGGTCTCAATCGGGTATCAAAATTCGACACTATAGCCAACTTTACTCCCGCTGCTCTGAGGGCCTGGAATACCCTTTCGGCTTCGGGATCACAAAGATGCCAAGCCTATTGAAGAATGAAAGTAAAATTATTTAGTATCTTCCTATTAGTGGAAATGTTCTGTTGTCAACTCGAAGAATAAACCAACTTGCTGTAAATAGAAATGGTAATTCAAAAGTGAGCGAACCTTTTCAGTCGTATAATAGTTATACAGCTCCTCAAAGTACTGAGAGTCAGAACAGCCAGTCGAACAACTAACTATATGTTGCCAAAATGGTCGTCCATCGTTGACATATCTGCAATATGCAGGCAAGAGAAATTTAACAAATTATCACATAGGAATGAACGCTAAACAGCAATGAATTAAAGCAGAATATGATTAGCAGTGACTGATGTTCTTCTTTTCGTACGATTAAAACAATATCGACAAGGAAGCAAGTTATTACAGATATAAATACAAACAACAGGTAAGATAATAAGTGGTTCAAAACAAGATACCTGAGACTAGATCTACCCCAAGGCTGCCCATAAGCCCATCTGTATCGTTTCAATATCTCATCTTCAGAATACTCCACCCCGTACTTCTCACCAATTTGCTTGTAAATCTACAACATCCAATATGATTAAAATATTATCAACAAGAACAAAAGGGACAAGCAAAATAAACACATATAAGTCCATAAACGCAACATTGATATCCTAAAGAAGTCATTTTAGGGGGAAAATTAGGAACTTTGCTCTGCCCATAATGAGAGAGACAGAATAATGTAAAATATATATATGTACACACATATACAAACAGAGAGAAGCATCCAAAGATCCAAAAGTTAAATCAAATTATTCAAACACAACGTCGAAGAATGAGACGATTCAAATAACATCACTTTTCTATATTTAGAAACAATTTAAACTTTAAAATTCTCATTTTACCATACAAATGTTTAAGATTTGTTTTAATCGACAAGTTTCAAAAGTCTTTCCTTTTTTTCTTTAAACTTCAAGCACAATCAAACAACGACACATAAATTAAGACGGAAGGAGGAATTCGATAAATATTTTTTCAATTACAGAGAGAACATCAGAGATACAAGCAAAAAAGGAAAAAAAAAGTTACTAGCTTTTCTGGTTCTTCAACCTTCACCATTAGATCCAGAAAAAAATCACTTCTTTGACAATTTTTTCATTAGAAACAGAACAAACAAATACAATATACTACAAGCAGAAACAAAACTGAGTCGTGGAGGTAGAGAGACTGTTTCTGAATACTCAGCTCAAGTACAACAATTCAAAGTAGTTATGAAAACACGAATAGACATACTTAAAAGCAGAAAGAAAACCACAGAACATGAAAACAGTAAAAGAAAAAAAAAAGGACTTTCCAAAATACGTTGCAGCACCCGTGTTGGATCCTCCAAAAATGCACTACTATTGAAAAATCCGACATGCACCCAACAATATTTTCGAAGAATCCGAACAACATAGATCAAATAAAGCTAAAAACTACAAAATGTGTATCCAAAATTAGCCAATAAATCTAATAATTTGATGAAATTTTACCTGAGCCATTGGTTGAGAAGGAATAACAAGAGTACCCACAGCATCAACAAGAAGGGCTTTATGTGTAAGCCCACCATACAAACCCCTTCTATAATCTTCATACTCTTTCACTAACCCAAATAGACTCTCAACCGACGCCGACGCCGGCGCTTCCACAGCAGCGGCCGCCGTCGAAAATGAAGACCCCAAATTCGACACCGGACTTCCAGTCGGGTCAGCCCGAATCACATCAGAAGACCCATTTCCGAGAACCTGCAACTTTGGTTTATGGGTCAAATTGCTGAATGCTCTAGTGATTATCCTCGTCCTTAACGCCATTAGAGAACAATCTTTTTTCAAAATTTGTTTTCGTTTTTTTGATGCTTTATTTATAGAAAATAAAAAGAGGAAGAAAGGTGGTTATTTAACACCCCGGGTTTGGTTCCCGGATATTCGGTAAGGATAACTGAGTTGGTGCAACGTAATTTCTAATCAAGCTTATCCCATCAAATTTACTTAATGCAATTTATATTATTTATATGATTTATGAGTTATTGAATAAAATCGAATTTACTTCGAAAAATAATTACTACATAAGTTAAAGTTTACGTAGATGCTTTGTATAATTCAATATTACTAATTGGTATTATTAAATAGTTGGTCATGAATCACGATGCTTGGGTTAAGTGGCCCTTTTGGTATATCCAAAAGCTTTCATTAACTAATAATGAATCTTAATTTCAAATCACAAATTTGTTAAACTACATGATGTAGGACACTTTGAATTTCTTTTATATTTCAATTTTATAAAAATGTTTGGACAAGAAAGTAGTTTGATTTATTTAGGGTTGTTCCGAGCGATTTTTCAAAAAAATAAATAGATTTTTATCTATATGTAGGTAAAAATAATTATCTTCAATACGAAATATAAGAGATGGGGCACTGAGGATGGGAATGTGGGGTGGTGGAGATAGAGGTTACGAGTATTCTTCGATTGTCGCATTATTGTGTTGTGGTTATAGTTTTTTTTTTTACACATATTTTTGTCATAATTTCTTTTTGGATCTAAAACTAAAAATTGCTCTTTAGGGAATAGTGACGTGGGACGTGGCCAGATGACAAATGTCGTTATAAGCAGTTGAATCCGCGTCAGCAGGTCCACATCCTATACTTTGTTAAATTCACTAATTAATTATTACTACTAATAAACATCATAATAATTAGATTAGGTGAATGAAATTAGTCATGTGGAGTGTGACTTAAGACACTTTTTTTTTGAAATGGAGTGTCTGCGAAATGTATCAATAACTAATTATCGAGGTGTGTTTTAATATAAAAAGAAATGATAGTTTAGATAAGTAAAGAGAACAATCGAGAATCAAGCTATGAAACTTATAAAATTTCTTCATGACTTATTTTTATATTTTGTTTTTCTTATTATATTCATAACTTAATCAGTAAATGTGTCTTTACTTCTTCTTCTTTTTTGTTGATCATAGCGTTCGAGTCAATTTTTGTTACCTCCTGTATTCAAATTAGCAAACCAGAAATAATAAAAGATGAAAAGAAAAACACAAAGAACTATCCGAGTCCACAGAACCCACTGTGTGTCCTTAAGAAATTTAATCCCCTCAAGTACCCGAGGTTGCAGATTAATTCCTCCCAAGATAAAACGGATTAACCATTAAAGAAGTAACGGTACCTCAAACTTCGATAATTTCAACGAACTCAAAATGAC